AAGCTTCCTTTTTATATCTTATTATATTTTTCCTTGTATCAAGATTAGCATTATTATTTGCCCTTTTAGAGCACTGCGGGATCTTTTGCACGGTTTAAAATCTTGATCTTAAATGCCAGCACAGCTTTTATAATTAAACCCTGAGATTATAACATTATTATCATCTGGGTACTGATTTCTGCCTTGCTGTGGCTGTCAGCCAAATGTCATAATGCATACAATTAACAGATTTGCTTCTCAGCTTACTGATAACAAAGGAAGCACAAATAATTCATAGGCAGAGGCACCGGTTCTTTGATGTGACTGAACTCTGATCCTTTCAGCACCTGAAGGGAGGCAGGCTGAAGGCAGGGCAGCCTCATTAAGGCAAAGAAAAACAAAAAAGAATAAAAAAGCAGAGGAGGAAGAGGAGGATGCAGGAGGTGCCCCCCACACTGGGTGCTGTGACCTCTGCCGGGCCAGGTCCTGCAGCTCCCACCCTCCCACCACGGCACGGAAAGAGGAGATTCCTTGGGAAAATACAAGAAAAACCTTTGTCCCAGCCAAAAATACAGACAAAATAATGTCTCTAATTACTAGGTAGCTTTTTTTTTCCAGAGGTTGGGGGAAATTCCTGATGAGATACTTCCATCTGGTTTACAGTGCCTTTGTGCTGGGGCAGTTCAAAGAGGCTGCAATGTAACTGAGAATCGAGGACAGCATTTATTTATAGTTTGATAACCTCATAAAAGCTGTAGAGCTGAGCTCACAGCAGTGTGCTTATTTATGTTTTAAACTGCTCATGCAGCACCCTACTGCCTTGCAAAGCGTATGCTGGAGCTCCTGCATAAAATTATATATGGCTCTTCCATGGCACAAAGGCAAAAAAGAAAAAGTGAAATTAGACTAACAAAACAGTTGATAAAAAAATTAAAGTAGCAGCCAGAACTGGAGGAAAATTAATAGCCTGGCTCTGAAATAAAGTAACATCCAATGAAAATTTGCACCTGAATCCATTTTTCACAGTAGAAGAAAAAAATATCCCAAAACTCTGAATAAGGCGGTAACTCTGATTTCAGCTCCTGGTGACATTACAAAGGATTTGAACCTTGTGCTGGAGGTTTTATAATGACAACCCAGCCTCTGGCACAATCTCAGAGCAGTCTCTCACTGGAAATTATATTTGTATCACATTTATCCTTTCTTTTAATATCAATGTACCATCTTTCCCCCTCTGTAACCCAGAGGGAAAGCAAAGCAGCACTGTTTCATTATTACCCTTTAATAGTCTTTCCAGTGATATAAAGGAGAATATTAATATTCTTCCAGTGACCTCACCTAAACTCTGCTAAAAGCCAGGAGGGAAGTGACAAGTTTGCAGCTAGTGTACAGGGATGAATTTCTGAAGTTAATGGAAGCATTTCACCTCTGGGTTTTAATCCTGTTTTCTTTTTAACCTTTTAACTTCAGTTTCCTCAGCTGTCAGATGGAGAAAGTAGACTTACATACAAGTCAAAAGCATGATTTTATTGAGTACAGTTCAGTCAGGAGCTTGCTGTGCTATCAAAGCACAGAGATGAAGAAGGTGCATTCTGACAAGGAAAGGCAAATACTGTCTTCTTGAAAATGTGAGGTAACCACACTTTTCCTATAGCTCTGTCTGGGGAAACAGCATTGCTCTGCAGAGGTTAATGAGGTGGGTGAAGACAGGTTGGAGGGTTGCAGGCAATCCTGCCTGCAAGGTGGACCCTCCTTGCACAATTCTACCCAAGGATGAGGTGATGGTTGAGTATGGACCAATTCCAGGAGAAGAGGAGCCTCACTATCTACCATTCCCAGGCTGTACATAGTTCTGCTGCGGCTCCTGGGGACGATGCCCAGAGCCAACCCAGCAGCTTTGTGGGCAGCTGAGGAGCCCACCTGCCCTGGGTGCAGATGGACAGTGCCTTCATTGCCTGGGTAGTGGGTGTAGGACCTATCCATCAGATAATTAGTACCTAAAGTAGTACATAAATGACATGAGCTACACCGTGCCTCAAGATTCCTATTGCTAATGTCTTACTGATGAAAGAGAGGAGAAAACGGCTGCGAGCATGTTGTGCCAGATATGCTAATCACTGGTATGAACACTTAAAATTCACAAATCTGATGAACAGTGTAATCAAAGACAAAGCGTTGCTCTTAAGAAAGCTAAATTAACAGCGAAAAAAACCCCTTAAAGGTGACCAGCAAAGGAAATGAAATCATAACTCAGTTCTACACACACAGCTTCTTCCTGATCTGCACAAAAGTCTGGGAAAGATGACGGTGATTAATCATCTCACTTGTTCTTCACATTAGAAATGCACATTTTGACCATTATGGAAAAGCTGGGGGATGTGTGATGATCTGACATCACAAAAGAGAAAGGAGAGAAGTTGATCGTTTTGGAGGAAAAGTCCTGATTAGTCAGATTGCAAAACAGAATTGGGGACTTGTTGGTAGTTACCAACACTTTCTTACAGTTGGAGAGTGAACAACCTGTTTCAAGGCACTACAACTCATCTTCTTTAAGGTGTCTGTGCTTATGATCTTTGAGATATAGTGTGGTTCCTTTATCATAATGCGGTGAAGATCAAATATTATAAGGTGATAAAATAGCACAAAGGGAAAACAATAAACATCTAATTATCATGTAGGATTTAAAAAAGAACATTTTCTATCTCATAAAAGACTTCTTCTGACTGTAAAGATTTCTCCAGAGGCATTTGATGCAGGATTAAGACCTGTATTTTCTCACATGCAATATTTAATTTCAGTGGAGCCAGGGAAAAAATAAAGACCAAAAAAAATATAGATTTCAAAATGCCATTGCTGTATTTTTTGTACTCAACTTCCTGTCTTTGATTGGTTTTTAGAAGAGATCAGAGCTTGGCCCACATCCAGACTATAAAGTTAATGTTTTGTCTTCCAATTCCATTTTTAAAATCTGGTAACAACTCAGATTCATTTCTCAGATTTGTTGCTTCTAGTTCCAGATTTTGAATATGGAAAGAATTGATAAAATCAAGGAAATGCTAGTCTTCAAGCATACTTGGCTTTTAATTTAGCACTCAAAATGAGGAATCTGTGTAATTTGCAGAATGATGACTACTTGCAAACCCAACTGAACAGCTAAAAGAGTAGGTTTGAGTTTGATGATATGTAGATTTCCTTTTCACCTGGGAAATAACTATAGTATTTTAAAAAACCATCTATCTAAATCTGTAGAGAAATCTGGACTGTTTTTAAAAATACATTTAGATGGATTTCAAAGAATTTCATATGCTTATTTTTTATGTCGATACATATTTCTTTGATGAAACTAAGACTTCTCTTTGTGCTGCCAGGATTTGAGAAAACCAATTCAATCTGCCATACGAGCCCCTGATCCTGCAAATATTTAAGCTGGTGAGGAATGTTATTCATTTCAACAGTCTCATTAAGCACTTCATATCATGTTTACAATGTGTTTCAAACATGACTATGCCACAGCTTTAGGATTTGTTCGAGTATTGGTGATTCATGACATGAGTCCTTAATGCATTTCCAAAACAGAACTGTCTCATGAGGCACACTAGAGGCAAAAACTGTGCTAAGGACTGGTATCCCTCAAGTGATGGGTAAATGTCATTCTCCCACTGAACCTCTACCACTGTACCTCAAATTCTGCAGCTTGCTTATCTGAAAGGCAAAGAGGTTCACTACAGTATCTCCCACTCAAAAAAACCCCCCAAAAACCAAACATAAATAGGATCATGGAATTCCTTATTTTTTCCCCATAAATAAAACTGGAGGGAATATGTGAATAATTACAATTTAATTAAAAATCTCCTTTGAGCTTGCAGTAAGTAGAACCACAACTCTGTGAATTTGCAGCACATAAACATCCCACTGAGAAGCAGGAGTACAGCTCAAAAGCTGGACCCCATTTACTGACCCTTTGTTTATCCCAAAGGAAACCAGTAGCAACTCTGCAGAAACCAGTGACCTATGCTTTGGTGTGAAAGAGTAAGGAATCTGGCCAATGGGACCAAGTTGCTTCCTGCCAATTTGCCACCACCCTTTGGGGCTGAAAGCTGTCTCTGCCCAAACCATTGTCTTGGCTCTCAGCTTGGAGCCTGGGGAGAAGCTACTGGTGAAATGGGGAGTGATGGGACACAGACAAATCCATTGGTAAAGTGAGGCAGCAGCTTCCTGACTGCTTTGCAAGGCTGTAAGTACAGGGCTTTTGCATCAAAACTGTTCTGCAAACTGGTACCCAAGCCTGCTGTAAGGCAGAATATTAAATATCCACACATCCACTTATGGCTCTGTGAAGTGCCAGGGAACTGGGTGGTACTATTTATTTCCCACCTGCTTTGCAGAGGTGTAGATCACTGCGAAAAATAGAGAAACAAGTCTAATGTTTTTCCATTTTTTAATCTTGTCAAACTCTTTTCTGCAATATCTGCTTAGACATAACTCCTAGTTTGAGAGATGCTGTGAACACTGAGAATGCCCCATTGCAGCAGTCTCACCCAAGGGCCTGTTGGAAACACAAGGTACTTTCAGCACTAAGCAAGGACTAATGTTCTTCAGGTGCCTAAGAGACAAAACTTGAATAGCCAAGGGACTAATGGACTGATCTAGAGTTCATTAAAGTCAGGGGAAATCTTTCCTTCAATTTTAACAGGCTCTGGATCAGCAACAGTGAAAGGAGGGAGAAGGCAATTGAAAATGACTGCTTTGAAAGGAAGTCTATAATTGTCTTTAAATAATCACAAAACTTGGGGTTAGGTATTGAATACTGAAGGTCATTAGAAGTGTTGATTTTTCTTATATTTTTTCTTGGAGATATTGAACCCGAGACCTCACCATAATTTTACATACTTTTTGTGCATTTCTGATTTATATCACACCCTACAGAATGACTATCTTTAGATATTAACAGCAATATTCATTTGCCCAATAATTTGTTCCTATTGACAGTGTTATGCTTCTATTTCTAGAAACATTCCCGATGAAGACCTTGAATTCTGAGGATATCTAAAGAGAGGAAGTTTGAAGGTCAACCATGGATCACAAGGCTGAGGAGAAAAGGAAGCAGCGCCACAGCTTGACTTTATTAGAACAAGTAAAGGGAATGAAGGAATCGACACAAATAATTGATGTTGTGCTCATTGCAGAAGGTGAGAAATTCCCCTGCCATAAGGTGGTGCTGGCTGCCTTCAGTCCCTATTTCAAAGCCATGTTCACCTGTGGCTTGGTCGAATGCACGCAGAGAGAGGTGGTGCTGTATGACATCTCTGCAGAGAGCGTGTCCACGATCCTCCACTACATGTACAGTGCGGATTTGCTCCTCACGAATCACAACGTGCAGACTGTCGCACTGGCCGCGTATTTCATGCAGATGGAAGATGTTTGCAACATGTGTCAGAAGTACATGATGGACCACATGGATGCTTCCAACTGTGTGGGCATCTACTACTTTGCGAACCACATCGGGGCAGAAGATTTGTGTGACCAAGCACGGAAATACTTGTATCAGCATTTTGCTGAGGTGAGCTTGCAGGAAGAAATATTAGAGATTGAATTCCAGCAGCTGATGGCTCTCATAAAGTCAGACGATCTGAATATTTCCAGGGAGGAGAGCATTCTGGACCTCGTCATTAGATGGGTCAAGCACAGCAGAAAGTCACGTTCGGAACACCTTATTGAGCTCCTCAAGCAAGTGAGACTGGTACTCATCAGCCCTTCCTTTCTTGTGGAAGCCCGGAAAAGGAACACAATGATTCTGTGCAATTCAGAATGCAATGACATGTTTGAGGAAGCACTGAAAACCATCAAACTATCCAGCCACCCTTCCCTCAGCCTGCGATATGGCATGGAAACCACTGATCTCTTGCTCTGCATCGGCAACAATTCTCTTGGTATTAGGTCCAGACATGGTAGCTATGCTGATGCCAGTTTTTGTTACGCTCCTGCAACACGAAAGACTTACTTCATTTCCTCTCCAAAGTATGGAGAGGGTTTAGGATGTGTTTGTACTGGTGTTGTCACTGAGAAAAATGATATCATTGTGGCAGGAGAGGCAAGCGCCGTCAAAATGTCTAGACAAAAGACCAGGAACATTGAAATTTATAGGTGTGTACCTTCTGTCAGAAAATCCCTGATTATTTAAAAATTTTAAATCTAAATAATGTTTCTGGGGACAAAAAAAAAGTCCATTAGACAAAGTGTTCTTTCCTTGAAATTATTTTTCCCAGAGATTTTGATTACCTTAATCAGTCTGTCACAATTTATTTTCACATCACTGAATTATATACATACAACTAAATCTTGATGCATTTTCTCCTGAAAGATAGAGGATTTATTCTTATGGATTTACCCTTTCTCTCTCTGTTTAAATGAGCTTGATTAGATCAATGCATGTGGATTTTATATTCTCCTTACTCAAATCTCAATGCTTTCCAAGGATACTTCTTTTCTAGGTCACTGGCAGATGGAAATGAGGCAAGCAAATGACCCAATGAGTCCAGTAAGACAGAGAAAACTTAATTCTCTGTTAATGTTGATGATAGCACTTCAAAGATTAAAGATAATGTTTGATATCTCTAAACCCTCATTCTGTTTTTACTCATGTCTTTTTCAGATGCATCTATTTTAAAGAAAACCAGACATTTTCTGGATTAAAGATAAAACTTTAAAATGGTGGCAGCATTTTCAAATACAAATGCCTAAATTTTTAAGGAAATAAATCCATACTGAGTCAGCTGAAGTAGCCTTATTTTCAGCAGAGTTGAGCTCTCTGTCTTCCCACTAACTTCATTGGAAACTGTGATTGAGCACCACACGCAGAAATAAGGGGCTTCTTACCTTAATTAGGGTCAGATATCTTTGAAAGGACACCTAGAATTCCTCACACTAAAAATGCTTGATCTTGCTAACATTGGGCTCAATTTTATAACTTCCCTGTGAAGGAGAAAGCTCCTCTTGCCATTGTGATATTGTCTGAGCAAACATTGATGATTACAGGGGTAATGCTTCCAGATAAGCTGATGGGACTTCAGTGAACCAGGGCATTTACAACTCTGGATTTTCCTACAGATACCACCAGCGAGGAAACCAGTTTTGGCACAGCCTGTGCACCACTCAGCTCCGTGAGCTCTACGCACTGGGCACTGTCCACAACGACCTCTACATAATAGGAGGGCAAATGAAAGTGAAAAATCAGTATCTGGTCACAAACTGTGTGGAGAAGTATTCCATGGAGCAAGGCACCTGGAGAGGCACAGCACCTCTTCCAATACCATTGGCATGCCATGTGGTGGTGACAGTGAAGAACAAGCTGTACGTGCTGGGTGGATGGACACCACAGGTTGAGAAATGTGCCTGTTACTGTGTTTGGTTTGTGCACTAACAAGCAGCTTTGTGTCATTTTACAGTGCTTCTTGCATGGGAAAAGTACATCAGTGATAACAGAAGAATAAACTGCTCACATTCCTTTGGTCTTTTGTAGGAAAACCAAACAGGGTGAGGAAGAACACTATCCGTCTGTGACATCCTTGATGTAAATACCAACTTCAGGAAGGGCAGTTCTTTATTTATAGAGATGTGCACAGTGAGCAAGAGTTTAAAATACATCTCCTGTATCATCATGGGTTCCAGCCTTTCTATTCCTTATTTACCATCTTAGTTTTTCCAGAAATCATAAATAATGGTATTTAATTATACAGGCACCTTTAACTGTGCCCTGTCTTCAAAAAGCATGTACCCGGGTACAATTCAGGGACAGATTTATATATGACATTTAAAGTTCACCTCAATTTCTCAGGAAGCTTTCTTGGTTAACTAAAGTTAATTTATTCAATTTTAATTATATTACATTTTAAATGAAAAGTCAAAGCATTCTCTGGGAAACAGAGTCCTTTAACCAAACCATTAATTTGTTTCAGTTGTGTTGCTTGGCCATGTAAAGTTTTTACAGGAATTTTCTGCAGGGCCACGGGTAACATGTTTGGTAGTACAGGGAATATGCAGAACTGTGCTACAAGGAAGATGGATGTCAGGAGCAGTGCATGCTCTCTCCAGTTGCTCCCAGTGCAAAAGATCTTTTTTAAGAGCATAGTCCATTTTTATTTACTGCTTGGTGCAGTTTAAATTTGAGAGTTCAGGATAAGGTCCCACAGTTACTTGACAATGAAGTGGAGCATCTGTAATCCTCATTGCTGACAGCAATATGTTCAGACTGTCATCACAATTCAATGGATTGTATCCTCTTGAAATAAATTAAAGTATTTAAAAGGGAGATGCATTCAGCTAACAAGAATTCCATCTCTTTGGATATTTTGAGTGCAGGAGTCCCCAGGGAGACAACAGAAAGATCAGAGAGTATTTCTGATACAAAAGCCACTGAGCAAGGGTATCTCACTATTTAAAGAATTAAAATATGAAAACACTTAATTAGAAATAGTCTGTCTGTAAAAAAAAAAAAAAACTTGAACTGAAAGATATGTCATACAACAAAGATAGGGGTTGAAGTCAGACAACCAGCTTTCTTAAGCTTTTTTCCAGAACAGGTTGTGAGAGGGGAAAGTGGCTTAGAAGCACAAGTCAGGAATATTGAGCCAAGAATGGTTTAAAAAAAACACCTAAATTGGATACCTGCCTACAAGTACTATCAGTAACAATGCATGGGAGTCTGAGTTTATATATAAATAGGTTTGAGATGAGCAAATTAACAGTAATTGATTAAAACCCACAGCTTTGCAAGATTAGGGTGTACCAGAACAAATCAGAATAAATTAGCTCAAGCTCTCAAAAAAGTGCTTTAAGACCAGCACTGCAGAGTGCTGAATTCTTCTGGTACTATATATCTTCCTCCTGTCAGATGCAGCGATTGTGTATGTGGGGATACCACAGCTGCACTGCGAAAGCAAATGAGCTCTCCAAGGCAGGGGTTGTCCCTCTGTTTGAACAGCACTGAATGTTCTGTCGATCCTGAACAAACACTAACGAGGCAGCATTGACAGAGTGCCCTGAGTGCACGTGTCCATTACAGGACAGAGATAAATACATGTTCCCTTCCCTTTCAGGCTTTGTAATTGAAACAAGACAAGACAAAGTCAAGCCAGGACATCAAATGACAGCTTAGGAGGGCAAGGGCTCTGCTCACATTAGCACTGCTTCGCTCAGCTTTGGTCTGGCCTCATTGGTGCCAGCAGAGTTAGAAACCCAAGCAAGTCCAGTCTTGGTCACTGGGGGCTGTTAAAGCAGAAGGAAGCATTCGGTGAGGCTGAGAGGAAGGTTCCAGACCCTTGAGACACAGAGAAGGGCTGCTGAAAGCTATGTTTTCTGTACGTAAAGAGCACAGGGTGCACTCTGAGGCAAGTGTTACCACAAAAAATGAGCTTGGACATGAATTTACAGCATGTCAAATGGTACCTGCTCCTAAGTATATGCTTAGTCTGTGTGGAAAACACACAGCTTACCCCCCTTTCAGTGAATAAATTAGTGTTTCACGCTTACCACAGAGAATGAACATGCCCTGGGCACTTACAGAGAGTAACCAAGGGGCTATATATTTACTCTGTAGTTTGCCTCCTACTGTCTTGTCCATGGCATTAGTGTTGGAAAGGTCTTTCGGGAAAGAAAAATAAGAAGAAAACCAGGAACACATATAACACCATCACAAGCAAGCAAAGTAGTCCTCTCCTTCTCACTCTCTCTATGTGAAAACTTTCAACCCAAAATATTTCTGGATCCACCCCCCACATCCCACTGCTTACATTCAAGGGTGTTGTACCCAGAAAACATAATCTGAGTTCCCTGCATCGTATGAGACAGGCAGAGAAGGGGGAAGAAGATTAGAGAGAACAAGAGGAGTAGGAGTGAATATAAAAGGAGTATTATGGCAGCAAAGATATTGCAGGGGGTTAGGAGCTTATTATGAAAACCATCAAAGTTACAGTAGTTGAACAACATTACTGTGATTAGACTGACTAAATAAACATGCAAATGTTTATTAGAATAAGTTATGTGTCTATATAGGCCTGAAAAAGGCCAGGAAAGTACCTCACTGAGACTCATGGTATGGTCTGAGTAACAGTGGGAATAAATTTCAACATTCAGCAAGAAAAAAAAAAGACAGATTGACTGGTTTTCCCTCATTATAATTAAGACTGTACAGCAGCCTTGTGAAAGGGGTACATTCTTCCCGAGCTGGGACCATGAATGTATTGCTATTACCCAAATCCTCAATTTTATTGCTGCAGAATATAGATGCCCACTTATTCCTTTGCCTTCTACAGCGGACTCCCAGCCACAAGCCACGGGTGCTGTTAAACCCTGGGGAGTACAATCCCCTGCGGCTATAATTGATGTGTTTATGCTATTTATCTGCCGAGCTGTCTGCTGTGATTAATTGCATGCAGGCATGTGCAGAGGGCTCCAAATGTTGTATTATTATATGGCTGTCATATTTCATACAGATGGATCTGCCTGACGATGAGCCGGATCGATTAAGTAACAGAACGTTTCGGTACGACCCGGGCCAAGACAAATGGACGGAAGGAGCTCCAATGAAGTACTCAAAGTACCGCTTCAGCACAGCCATAGTCAGCGGGGAAATTTATGTCTTGGGTAAGAGGAAACAGATTTTTAACAGATAGTACCATGACTTTTTCTTCTTTCCAGCAGTTTGCCTCTGTGAAGTGAAATATCTCACCCTTTGTTATGTGCTGTAGGACAAAGTACGCTGGACTAAATGGGTGGTATTTTTCTAAAGTTGTCTGTTCCCCTCATTATTTCTTCCTGCTTTGATTTAGGTAGCTTAAATTAAGTGAATGTTTAGTGTTCTGGATTAATGAAACAAAGATACTTAACTTTTTAAGCTACTTTTCTTTAGGGTATCAGTGTGTGTTATAAATAGTAATGAATTTTAAAAGGTGAGTAGAGAAGCCTTGTAAGGATCATTTCACAAGTGAGCACTGAACAGCTAAGGAACACACTCAGCACCATGAAAGAATGGCATAAGGATAAAGAAAATTTGAATCTCCAAATCAAAACCAAAATTATTTCTATATCCTGATAAAACTCAACAAATCTTTCTTTTCCACCCACCTCAACACAGTGCATTCTTTTGAAAACTCAAATCTCTCATTTTGTCATTTTTTGACTGAATCTTTTCCATTTTTTTGTTTCAAAACAGAATTTTGACCAAAAATATTGATTCGTGTGAAAGAGTTCAATAATCTCCTACCCCAAAATCTTTTGTCCCAAATGATTCCCACCCATGTTCCTCAGTTCTGCAGTAAATCCATAAAAGGACCCTTTTCCCAAAGACCATTCTTCCTGGTCCCATCCCAGCCTATGTACAGGCTAACAGAGAGAACATCACCTGTTTATGAACACTGGCAAACAGCTCAGAAGGTGGCAAGCAAGGGATTTTTCTGAAGAGAAAACAAAGATATAAGCCAGGGAAAGGCAGATATAGAAGAAAGGCATTGCAGATGCTGGGAAAAAGTTAAAAGGGGCATCTTAGAAGGGGGATAGGAGTCAGAGAGGTGTCCAAGTAACAGAGAGAAGGATTATAGGCAGATGTGTGACTGGAAAGTTCTTGGAGAAGTGAGGGAAAAACTCAGTCAAGTAATCCACAAGTGGGCTGTGAGTGATTCACACTCTTCCATGCTCCTGTGGTCTCATGGGCAGCATCACACATGAAGAAGACAGCAATCTCATCAGTACCTTGGGACATTTCAATCCCTTCTACTTCAAACTATTCCTGCTTACAAGCTTATCAAAGTGAACAAAAAATACAGTCTTATCAACATAATACACCTCCCGCATGGGGTGTTCTGTTTTTGTCTGTGTTGTTATATAATGTGGATAAAGCAGAGCTTGTTCCCTGCATGTAATACAGAAAGTGTTTTGCAGGGGGTGTATGTAAGAAAAGCATCTTTGAAGTAGAAGAAAAGAGTGGCTTTAATGCTGCATCTGTCTTCTTTTAGAGAAACTTCTTTCTCTTAAGTGTCTTGAGAGAGGCCCACAGTCACAACCAGGAGGAAGGGTGAAAGGAGCCCATATGGAAAAGAGAGTTTTGCAACCAGAAAATCATATCATTATTGTCAAAGGTTAGTGATAGAGAATGTCAGTGTGCTGTTAAATAATAAGAGTGTTGGCTACCCAGGTTCAAAGGTGCTTCAGAAATGTGGAAACTCCATCCTTTGTAAAAGGTTAAATATATATAATTATTTATACTGACATTGATGCTCTAATGGGGCAGAAGAAGCAGCTGGAATAGTTGGGAAGAGAAAGGCTGCATTCATGCATTTCAGTAAGACAGTGCTCCAAGATCAAGACCTTGAACACTGTGATGACACAAGAGAGTCAGGGAGCAAAAAAAGGAGCCGCCTTGGGATGCATGTGATAAAACAAATTGACAGTCTTCTTCACAGCAAGCCTGACACTGAGACAGGGAAAAGGAATGGCTAATAGGGAAAACTGCATCCATTTTCCTCTCTCAAATCTCACAAAGCAAGAAGCATATCTGAACAATTACAGTAATGAAATTTACAGATTATACACAAAGCACAGCATTAAATCTGAAAAGTGCCTGTTTAAATGGCATTGAGGCAAGTTCATGGTCTCACAGACCTGCAGAAGCATTTTGCTAATGTTAAAAAAATAAAAAGCCTTGTTTTTGTATCTATAGCTGGCAGTGTTGCTGTATTCAGGGAGCTGAACACTGACGTGAATTCTTTCTTACATGCTAGCCAATACCAATAATTTTTGTGCATGTGTGAGAAAATCTTTGCTAACAATCAAATATGCACATGGGCTGTAACAGGCTCTTGACCTGTCTCCATCACTTTGTTGGTTCACATACCTTCCCATGGCACTCCTTATTCCAGCCTATTCCTACGGGAACCAACGCACTTAATGCTGAGATTAACAGTTTGCTGCAGTGGACCCTTCACTCTTGCCACTAAATCTAGTTAAGCATTCATAAAGGCAGTGTTTGTTCTCAGTTTTGACAGTGTAAATCTGGGGTAATTTCACTGTAATGGACAAACTTGCTTGTGATTTATACCAAGGGTAACTAAGCTCACACGCTGCTCCAGGGAGCAGATTTTTGAGAAAGATTGGGCTATTTTTACCATTACATTTCTGAGCCTGCCTCCCTTCTGATGCTCCATCTTCTCAAGGTGTAACTGCAGCATGTGCAGACACGAATGAGTTACCATCAGGTAGCAGGAATATCAATTGCAGAGAAGACATTTTGACCTAGGTCTGGGCTGCTTTTGCAAACTCCTGATTGCCTGTTTTCACAGACCTCGTGAGGACTTCAACATCCATCAATCTGCAAAATTTAATCAAAACTGGGCAACTGGCACAAAAGCTATGAAAGGCAAAGAAACTAATGTAAGTGCAGATAGAGAACACACATGTAGTGAGGGTAATTGCATAAGTCTTGTTTTCTTGGGAAATCAAATAATATTACAACTACATTTTAAATTGAAAAACATGCCTGACACTGAGCCAAAAATGATTTGTTAACAAATTCTGTCTTTGAATATTCTGGTTTAAATCCATCTGTATGCGTGGAAATGGAGATTTATCTGTTAAAATTAAGAAGACAATGTAGTTGGTAAATGCTAACCATCACGATCTGAAAACTCTGTGGAAGACATTAAAGCATTTTCCAAGGCCTCTCAAAATGATGGAGCAATTTCCAAACAAACTTTGTTTGGAAACAGTGATACAGTCATGACATTGACATCTTACTCTGCTGCTATCACACATGGTCTCATATCCAGCTGTAAACTCACACTTGCCAACTGTAATTAGAACCTCACACAGAAAAGCAACATTCCACAGTTTATCCATGGTGACAAATTCTTGTTACCCTGTGAGTTGTCAGGCTGCTGGGCTGTTGGGTGGGTCCAGTTTTCCTTTGGAAAGAATTGTGATGGTAACCCCAGCCAGGTGAATGGGAGATTAGTGACATTGAAAGGAAAGCAGTGAAAATGTTCTTAATCTGGCTGATGTGGTACTTGATCATGCAGATGACATTCAGGAGGGAATGGCAATGGAAAGAACAGAGGTTGACAGTGACAGAGCAAAGAATAGCAACTGTCATGAGGGCAGTAAAAGCGTAGCAGGCTCCTCAAAGCTGTGGATCCCTTGGACATCACCCTGCTTCATAAAGGGTGTTGGGCACTCTGGGAGTCTAGAAAGATGCTGTCAAGGGTGATTTGTGCAAAAAGACACATTCTGAAGAGGAGAGGTTGTTCTCATGTAGTGGCTCAGAGATGTCTGTACTCAGGCATAATGACTAAGCTTTTGTGCTATAGATGAGAGGGAGACTTTTGTGGAGTCTCTACCACCGCTATTGATCCCCCTCCTCACTCCAAATGGGGGTTCCCCATGGTGAAGTCTGTATGCACAGAACTTGAACATCTAACGTCCCCACTGAGGGGACACTCAGTGAAGGGGCCATTCAGAAGCATAGAATGGCATCCCCACAAGCATCCCCCACTTCTCATATCATACTTGTTCCTCATGGGGTGCACTGTCTCCACGGGCCTCCTGCAGTCTGCACCCAGCTAAGAAGATCCACTGGGGGCTGCTGGGGACAGAGGAAGGAAAGGGAGAGAGGCTAAAAGGAAACAGGTGAAAGGATAAAAGTGAGATATCTTCAGTATGTCTTCAGGACCAAGCCCTGCTTCCCAGAAATAAAAACATGAAATAAAGACATAGATAGCTCTAGCTGGGTATATAAAGCAGTGTTGCAGAGAGATGAGAATTTTTTCCAGCAAGTCTTGGAAACAAAGTTGTTCAGTGATGTGTGTCAGCTCTTTCCAGCAGGATCTCTGTCTTTCTACATAACTTATACAGGTGTCAGCACATTGAGGACTCTAGAACAGAAACAAAAAATCACTGCAGAGAAAGTTGATCCTCTCTAATATCCCTGATGTATGAAAGTAATTTCTATCATAAATATGAAGCAGAAAGAAGATACGTAATGCTAGCTTTGAATAAGGTGCAGTAGCAGTTTCTTTGACAGACAAGTCCAATTTTTGCTTTCATGCATGCAGGTGTAAATCTGTACTAAGTAGTCTGCTAATGTCAACTGTGTGGTGTCAGGCTCATTTTATTCTAACCCAGATCAGAATCTGATGCTTAGCCTTTGAAATGTTAATTTCTGAGAAGTCCTATTGGCACAGAACAGAGAGTATGTAGTCACTGTCCAAAACCCCTTCCCAGCCTAATTGCAGCTTCAGCATGTAAAACCCTAACGACTTAAATGGAATTATTCCAGAGTCACACTGATGGAAGGAAAATGAGAGATAGATTAGAGTTTTTGGTCTGAGTAATAGCATTGTTCAGGAACCTGTACCGTGTGTCTTAATCAGCAGTCCTGCAATGTAATTGTCTGTTTGTTGTGTAATGTTCCTAGAGAATCTCATGCTATTTATACACCATACATAATCCTCATAAGTAAATGAACAGCATTTCCTAAGGCTCAAAATCCTTTCTCCTATTCATCTCATTTGACTGGTCTCAGCTCTTTCTCTCTATATTTTCCCAGGAACATAACTATATTCGTTGGAAAGCCCAAGAAAGAGCAGTATTGTGTT